TTTCGACATTTTCCATTTAAATAGTAAATCACCGTTGCAGGGAAGCATATACAACACATACCAAACAAAATCGACAAATTGAAGCTTCACGTCAATCATTTTAGAACCGATATCATTTTTTTGCTGACACTTTGTTGAATGAACATAATTATGATATCAATTTCGTGATTCCACACATAGTGTATATAGATTGTGGGGGGGGGGGGGTTCCTTGCGAACGTTTGTTCCAATGAGCCAATATTGGAAGAACTTACTTGGAGGTTGATCTTGGCATTTAGTGGATTGACGTTACGTCTTGAGGCCTGAATAATGAACCCAATAATTATAACTGCTAGGGACAATTTCACGCATTTACAGGACCAGAGAAGTCCATACTGCATAACGTCCATGCAGACACCCCAGACACAAGATCTAAGTTACAAAATAAAATCATAAAAATGTTTCAGAATTAAATAGAAAAATGCAGTTCAATTCGTGCTAGTGGTGTGTAGTCATATTTTCGTTTTCTAATTACATGCGTGTTGGATTATAACAACAATAATATTTTACATCGCATAATTCTGATTTAAATATCGCATTGCTTGAAACAATAATGATAATTAATTAAGCATTGCTTACTAGGTTTTGATAATATTATACTTTTCAGATTTTAAGAGCAAACAATCGGAGCGGACAAGATGAAACTGATAATATTCGGAATTAATTTTGTCCTGTTAATATGGGTAATCGTTGGTTTAGTGCCCTCGTCCTCAATTTAGAGGTGATTATAAAAGTGGTGAAAATATCTATTTGACGGATATAAAAGTGAAAGTTAAATGAAATAGAATAGATTTAGTGCATGTATGCAGATTCGAAGATTGTATCAGGGGGAAATACTTCTCTTCTCTGTGGGTTCTCCACACGTGTCAGGGGGGAATCTCGTCTCGTCTTTATATCTCGTCCCCTTGAGGTGCTGGATCGGGAAAGTCACTTATACTTTACAGTCAAATAATCCACACACAACGAAATACGTTTCAGCTCTCGTCTTAGTCGGTCAATCGAGCACTCTATAAGACACAGCACCCTGGGGAAAAAATCCCCAAGGCTATCACAAGGCTGACCCAAAACTCGCCCAAGACTGTGCTTAGAGTCGCCCCAAGGCTCTCCAGGACTGGACCACGACTCTCCAGGACTGCCCTCGACTTTCGACTGTGTCTATCGTAGAGTACTTGCCAAGACCGACTCAAACTCTCTTTATTCATTTTCAAAACTCTAACCAATTACAAAACAGTAAAAAGACTCTAGGGCGTAACCTTCAATCATGAAGCCAATCACACTAAGTACTTAATACGTCATATCTTTTGATTAATCGTTCACTACATTAATAACTAACAATTGACTGCGAATGGAATCGCAATAAATGAAATAATTAATTATTGTTCGTTCCAGTTCATTACTCATCTGCTTTGAAGTGTCATTATAATATGTGTGTGAATCTATCCATCTGATTGGCTGAAGCCAGGGTTTATATCTGGCTAAATATGACTCGGGACCTGTTTGATTAATAATTTATAAAACAAAAACTGGTATAAACTGGATTGAAACATGATAAATATTATCGTCTGCAAGTCACTAGCGGCATTTTCAGAACATAGTAATTATGTCAGACGACGAGCCTCAGATCAATTTTGATCTCAATTTTAAATGAGACCAGCTGGGTGAAATTGACGCTACTGATGAAGAACTTCTTCAAGCTACAATTGATTAGGATCAACAGAACGCTGGCGTTAATAACGAGCCAGATCAACAAATGCCGGTGTCTGCCGAAGGGCAAAGATTCCCCGAATTCTCTGAAGAAATGATCGATTGCAGCAAAAAAAATAAAGTGAATACTAACGCCTCCAAAATATGGGTTGTGAAATTACTCAAATGTAAGTGTGATAAAAATCACAATTAAAAAAATAACATATCGTAACTATAGTTTGTACCGGCGAACACCGCCATTTTCGTTTTCTGCGTTGAACGTTTGACCCCCATGATGACCCAATTTCCGTACTAAAATTATGTTTTTTTTGTTTTGTTTTTTGTATAGTGTGGTGTTCTGTACGGAAAATCGACCCAGACTTCGAAATGGTGGAAGTGCAAAAGCTGGCAAAAATAATGAAGCATGTTTATGCCGAGATCAGGGCTAGAGACGGAAAGAATACAGCATAAAAAGCTACGCTGGAATTCGAGCAGCAATCAATCGCCACGTAACCAATGTTCCATTCAATCGCCCCATTAACATTATCAAAGATCGGGAATTCCAAACGGCCAATAATGTATTGATAGGAAAAGTAAAAAGTTTGAAGCGGGAGGGGAAAGATAAAATCCAAACGGTTATCAGTGCGGGAGACATGAGTAAGATATTTACCTGAGGTGTCCCTTTTACGTTTGATGTGGTTTTATGTAGAGTTTTTCTTTTGCCGAAGAAGAAAGTTTTATTTTAAAGAAAGATGACAGGGGATGGGATTATATCACTTTCGCATTTTTGGAAGTAACCAAACACCACCCCGGGGTTTTGAAGGGTGATTTTGAATCAGAGAAACGGATGTACAAAACATACTTCCCACTTTGTCACCCAAGCAAAAATGCTTTTTTCCAGCGGCCTATTAGTAATTTTAGAGGTAGGGAAACAACATGGTATACAAACGCTCCTTTGGGTCACATTACTTTGGGGAAAATGATGAAAAAAATATCAGTGGCCGCAGAGTTGTGCATGCTGTACACTAACCACTGTGTGAGAGCAACCACCATAAAATCATTTAACGACGCTGCAATACCAACACAGATAATCATGAAATTTAGTGGCCATCGGAATGAAGGGAGTATCAGGAGTTACTGTCGCGACAGTTCTGGTGAACAAAACCGTCAGTATAGTGACATTTTAATGTCAACAGTTAGTGTTCCTACCGTCGATGAGCGTGGTAAAAATAACCTTCCGATGGCACCCAGTTCCAGCGTCGTTCGGCCGTTAACATCGGGCATGGCTCAAGTAGTGTCAAAGAACTATCTCCACAAGTGAAACGGTGTGCTCAAGCTCAGTTGCCACAGAAAACCAGTTTATAAACTGCAATTTCGGAGACTCTGTATATGTGTATACTAGCAATTATATTTCCCCAAAACCAAGCTAAAATCCTCGAAAACGACAACTTAAAAAAATTCAAACCGCCAGGTTCAAATTAACCACTCTTAATATTTGTTAATGTATTAACCCGCGATATTTATAATGTCGATTCATGTGTATATTTTTTTTCTGTTTTATATTTGTATAAAACTGTTCTATTTATTGACGATGTATTTTAAGTAATGAACTTGAACATTTGCAATTTTATAATAATCTGTTCTATTATTTTATCTTGGAATTACAGAGTGTATGATGAGGCCCCAGAACGTGATTAAATATTCAACGCTGTCATATTATAATGAGGTTATAAGCGGTCGGGTATTTGGTAGCAGATATAAGACCTCCTAGGGGAAAATTAGTATATTTGGCGGGAAATAATCACCGAGCGCAGCGATGATACCAAATACCCCCGCGTGCCGTTTATAACCTCTAAATGTTCACAAATTGTGGGTATTGTATCAACAGTTTAATGTTTATATCTACAGCAAAAAGTAAGTCAATGACACTGTTTTATGCAATTGATAATATCTTTCACAACAAATATATATGTCCTTTTTTTCAAATGTTACACTCGCACTTCCCTTGTTAATGTGTTTATATGTAGGAATAAATACTTGCTTGATTGTGTGATTTGTTAGTTGTTTGCTATGATTACTGTACAAAATAGTGCAAAGTACTTGATCATGAAACGCATCATTGATATATTTTGTTTTCAAAAAATGATAATGTTGATGATTTTTCACCATGTTGTCAGTGTAAATACATTTTAAAACGTGTATATGTGGCTTTTTATACATGTTTCTGGTGGAAACACTTTTGAAAAACGTGTTTCTAATGAAAACTTTTTTAATAATGTGTCATGTGCCAAACCATCCCTGAAATGTTGTAATAAAAGTGTTTTCATAATATACACTTTTCGCAATTAAGCAGATTCTAAACACTTTAAGTATTTTTAAAGTGGGGGCGAGCTTATAAACACTTTAAATGTGTTATCACAAAACGGTAAATTTTGTTATTTTAAAAAGTAGTGTTGTAAATAACTCATTTGCGATTTTAAGAAAAAAAACGCTTAATGTGTTTATATTATAAATCACTTAAAGTGGGATGAAAATATGTTTTAAAAGAATATAGATATACAGTGTAAATTGCTGACGCCTTTAATAATCATTTTCTTAATATTTCAATAGCGCCAGGCGTCTGCGAGGTATCATATTTTGAGCATTTGACAAATCTGTTTAGAGATAAAATAAATATTTTTTTTTCATTCTACATTTCATATGTTACTGAATCATTTGTCAAGCCAGTTTTAAACGATTGTAATTCTACAGATGTGATATTGTCAATAAAAAAATACCTTGTGTAAATGCAAAGATTATTTAGATTTATCTGCTTCGATTGCGAACATTTTCTGACATTTTGAAATATGCGTCAATTTCTATATAATGCACATACTTTGCTATTTACACTTCACTTAATAGATTAAACCACCAGTGCTTTTTAAAGAAACCCCAATAACGCAGTGGTTGATACATTCTACTTATGCGCAATGACCGGATATCACTCTCTGGATTTAACCAGCTGAATAAAAAATAAACCCCAAATCGTGTCACAGGCTCACAGGGCAGCTTAAAAATAAATTGACTTTATTCAAACAGACGCAGTAGCATAATGCCATTAACGAAAGATATCTGTATAGCCTTGTAACCGTGGACATTTATTTAAAGCGGGGAGCCACCTCCAGCGCATGCGCCAGATGGCCACGAGACTTTCTTTTTAGCGTGTGTAGTTTTCGTTGCACGGCACTCAATTCCCGCGCGTGCGCAGGTGACGACCGCCCCGCTTTAACACATGTGTTTTATTGTTGGCGTTTAGAAATTGACTGATACCAATCTACGTTGGTCATTCCCAACTGTTTGCAGAATGTCGTGTTGCTTGTGGAATATTCAATATGTTTCACTCCACTACGGTTTCTTTTTGAGATTTTGGACGCGGAGCATCGTGTACTAGTATCAGTGAGTAAAGCACGAAATGTTGCTAACTCAACGTAAAATTCTGATCCCAACCCACGGATGTTGCTCCATAGCGTGAAGTTAAAGTAGTTATACATCAACATGTCAGCTCTAGACCACTTATATACATTTCGCCTAAATGTGTTAGTAATCGTGTCTCGCTTCAGTCGGGTATTCTTAGCTAAATAAACTATATCTTCAAACTCCCAACACATGAGTCTTTTCAGCAAAATCAAGGACTCGTCGAAATATTCAGCTATAAGAACTAAATCAAATTCCTCGTCTAGTTTGTTAATAGTGTCATTAACAATAGTCTCATTGGCTGTCTGAATGAGTGTCAAACCAAGATCCCTAATTTGATTGTTTCTGCTCCCTGCTGTGCCGCCATTTTGGAAATAATTCACGTCTTTCAGAAATGTGTCTATTCCACTTAATACTTCACTCTTGTGATGAAAAAAGTTCATATGCGATTCGATTTGACTTGCTGGTTCTCTTACAATAGTGATGAATTTTGGTTTCCCCGACATAAACGTGTTTATTGTACGTTTTGCGTATGTCACGTGACCAGTCAGAATATTGTACATTGGATTCCCAGTACCATTGTAGTGAAGAGGTGGTAAGAATCGACTTGTATTCAGAGCTGTCTTTCTTATGTGACCATTGTACATGTTGAATTTACAAATCACAAATGATAGTTTCTTATTGTAACCATAACGACAGATGATACAGTGAAGCGAAGTACTTGCGGTCTTGTGTGTTTTGATGAATACCACGTTATTTACTGGGTGGCATTTCATAACTGGCAATCTTTGTTTCCTTAATTGCACTGCTTTGTAGAACGGGTATTTACCAGCCGAAAAATGGAACGATGATTCATTGATATTAATCCATATCAACATAGTTACGGTGATCATCGTGGTTATTATCTGAAATATCAAATATGACACCAAAACAGAAAGATGGTAAGTTCCTGTTTATTAACATCTCATGTCATCGATGCACACTGGTTATGTTACATGCAAACAATTCTGACATCAGTCAAATTCATCGGTTGTTCATCGTGCAGACATTGACTTGTCACCATCGGAATAGAAAGCTAAAGTATTTCCTCTGTAGTAAAATAATGTTCAAGTATTTTTAACAAACTTGTTTAATCGAAAACAAGTGTTAGTATTTTTAAAATGTAAATCCGTTGGAAGAGTGTCTGAGTGATGAAAGTCAATTAACATTTCCGATTGTGACTTTAGCAACAGTTGAATTTATCTATGATGAAACCAATCCTGGACCAGTGGATAGGAAAACTAAGGTTGTGATAGCAAAGTGCCGCTTACGGTTGCTGTTTTTTTTGTACATATGATCCTGCATCATGCAAGTAAATGTATTACAATCAAGTCATGCAATGAATATCA